GGTTTGGTAGATTGTTGATTTTGAAGGATCCAAAGGCATATTCTAAATATTTGGTGTAGCTCCACTAATTTCAATTGCTTTTCTACTCTGCCCAGTAAAATTATTTATTTGCACAAATTTTTCTCCTTGTCCTAAACAAAATTGCAAATCTGTGTAGAGTCACAGTCTTGCTACTTACAGACTCTCAAGGTTTATCTACTGTTTGTTGCATTCAATCCAAGAAAGCTCAGTAATTTTTCTAAGGATGTCTTGTCTGATGGGCTAGAAAAATTGATTGTCTGGTATTACAGGGATTTATAAGAATCAAGTAGAAAAAAAAGCATACTAAATATCTTAATTAATGAGGCGCTAGTTTGAACTTTATCACTTTGACTAGCAACAAATTGTTGTGCAACCTTGTAATTTATATTAAAAAAATCAGCATTGCCATTGAAGTAATGTGACATTTTGTGAGTCCACTTGAAGTCAAAATTTCTAGAAGAATTGTAAAAGTTTGACAACTGGTTTACACATTAAATCATATTTTTCTGGTATAATGTTTTTAAAGTCTATCATAAATTTTATATTTTAAGAAGAAGCCCATATTATTATGAATCCTAGTTATGATACACAATGTTGGTCATTTTTTTTTATTTATGGATTAAACAAATGTATAGTTGGGATATTTGATATATTGAAAAAATATATAAGAATAGCAAACAAATGCAGAAGTTGTCAATTAATTTTGGTAATATATCCATAAATTTGTATAATTTTTATCAATAAAATCTCTATAAACCAAAATCTATAAGTTAAAATAATTTTGATTATCCTAATTGATTGTTTGAATTTTTTCTATATTTGCCACATAAAAATACATACATACATATATATATATATATATATATATATATATTGTTTTGAGGTAGATTTTTTAGAAGTTGAATATTAGATTATTTTATAATGTAGTACAAATTTGACCTACTTAAAGATTAGATTGTCAGTTTAAAACTTTAGTTTAAATACATGAATAACTTAATAATGTCAGACTTTATATATCTCAATAGGTTTCAATTTCTATTTTTAAAATAATATTAGCTAATTTTTAAATATAAAAATTATGTGACTATTATTAAATATATATATTGATTTTTATAAATCAAAAGAAATAAAATAAACTAAAATAAATTATTAATGAATCAAAGAATCATTTAAAAATAATTTTAGATATATTTAATACAATTAATATCGCATGAATATAATTTATTTAATATAATATTTTATCATTATATACATTTTTTCTGTATTTTTTTATTATTATAAGAAAAATATACATTGATAATATTTTGTATCAAATACTACAAAATTGATTGTAATTCTTATTTAATATTTTTTATAAATACTTTATTAAAAATATATTTTTTAATTGAGTGATGTTTAATAATTCTATTTTCGTATATATTTTCTTTGAAAATTATTAATGATATTAAATATATTATTATTTTATTTTTAAATATAAAAATATATATATTTTTAAAATATATTTTAATTTCCTATGTAGTACTATATTCACATTAGTAATGTACATTCAAAGATGGCTCTTTTCTTTACATGTAGCATTTTTATATTAACTTAAGTAATAAATTATTGCTTTTAATAAAAATAAGTCTTTTATTTCATAGAATTGACTTAAAATGAAGGTAACTTATTAATTAAATTAGATAGTGTTTGTACAATAGATTTCTATTCACTTATATCTATCAATATTTAGCATAAACAAATAAATAAAAATTGTTTCATAAAAAAAAATACATTTATATATATATATATATATATATATATATATTATATAAATAATGTATAAGATTTTTAAAATATTAATAAACAAATAATGCATTGTATACGTAAATAAAGAGGGAGAAAAAAAATTACAATAATATCTTATAAAGTTTACACTTAAATATTTTCAAATATTTTTTTGTACAAGCAATCAAAATTACACACTTTTCATAAGTCACATCATAAACATAACAAACTCTCAACTTATTAAATTAAAATCTGAAGACCAAATATAATGAACCATTATAAAATAAACTATGAATTCTTTGATTCAAATAGATATCAATCAAATTTATTAGTAAATTCTAGATTGTAAATTGAAAATTTTAGGAGAAATTTCAAAACATATATTTGGTAAAAATGATACAAACATCCAAAAATAATAAAAATAAAAATAAAATACCATTTCAGTCCTTTTTCAAATTCAAAATTTGAATTTAATGATAACCAGCTCTGTGGAAGTACCTGCTCACCTTTCAAGGTAGTAATTTTGAAATTATGCTTTGAAGGTATGACTAAGGGCTATTTATTTATTTACTTAATTATGTATGTATGCGTGTACATTTCAAAGAAATTATTTCACAATTCCCTGTTGAAACGTTGAGTCCATTTTAATAGGGTATAATGGAGAGAACGTACAAGTCATGAAGATGTGCAAGTGCCTTTGTTTACTCCTGACATCCAGCATTTGAAGCTGCTCAAATGCAAAGTCTGTCAAATGGACAGCACACAACATTAAATTGAAGAGTGTCAGACTGCTGAGATATGCTCTCAATGGAAGGAATAAATTGATCAAAGTAGTTGAGTTTGTGTGTTTAAACTGCACAGTGCAGGGGTCACAGATTAGCACAATCTGCAAAAAAGCAAGATTCAAGTTAGTGTCAGTGTCATACCATTTGTTGTTTGGTTGACTGGATTCATCACAAAATCGGTGGTCCCAACAGAGAAAGCATGAAGTCACCGGAGTTCCAAAGCTTGAACCCACTTCCTGTGGCTGCATGTTTCCCTTTCAATGAGATTTTGATGATGAATCGATGGTCTTCACGGAAATATCGACAGGCAATTATCATTGCAACATTTGCTGTACCGAGGCTACCCCTGCATCATGGCTGGCGTAGCACGCACAATGACGAGACTATGACTTGTTTGTAGTTAGTGGTAAGCAACGTTACTCGTAGCAATTAGGGCATAATTAATAACGCCACAGCACATATCCACCTTAAATATGTGACTAGGGTGTCGAGGCTAGAATATTGTGGAGTGAACAAAAGCAGGTTATACCCTAATAGTGAGCCTTGGAACTCGGCTCATTTGAAAAAGCTTGAAGTGACTCATTTCCATGATGAAAATCCAATGCCAACATCTTCCTGCTGTTTACCAATATGTCAAAAGTGTTCTATATTAGCAGAGTTCTAAAACAAAGAAAATGGTTATCATACCATATCAGAGATTTCTGCTATTTTACCCATACTTCACCGGCAATGATGTCTAAACGAACAGATTTGACAATATACATGGTTTTTGCAGTCGTGAAATTTTAGTCTAGCAGCACATACTTTCACCCGTCTTTATTCAAAAATGCTGGATTGGAGAAGCAGCGTAATATTCGTTATGTCCATGCAAATGCTCGTCCTTCGAGATGCTCTGGATCACAATGAGAGTTCGCTCGTGCAAACACGTCGATAATGTTGCGAACTTATCAAACGCCTCGTTATTTCCTCCCCTCCCTGCAGCATGTTTAGCAACAGATATTCTTCTTCTGAAGGTGGAAGCCGGAGGTGGAGGGAGAAAGAAGTTCACGTACATGGTGTTAACCTCGCAACACATCAAATTTCCCAATGAACCAAAAGAGTTAATGTATGCCGATAAACTCTAATGATTTCAATTACAACCATCGAACTGTTCACATAAACAGCATACACCCGTTAGAAATTTGAACATCTAGTTACGAAATAATTCAGAACCACAGCTTATGTGCAAATTGCTATGGAAAGATAGCTACACAAACGATATGAAAGTAAAGAACAAAAAGATGCTCTGTACCCTCATGCCACCTTTCCCATGAGCAGCGCAATTAGTGGTAAGTAGGGCAAAACTATGACTTTAGGAACCACAGAATTCTAATCAAATGTTATTCAGAGGTGAGGCCAAAGAGACCACTTGTTTTAGCTATGTTTGAGGATCAATGATTGGAATGTAGGGGAACAACCGCCGGCTCCTCTTTGGGTAGACACAAACCAATCGCGCTGTGTCTATTCCGCTTTTTTCTTTCGACAGCACTCGTAACTGCATTAGATTTGTATCTTAGAAAGCAAGAAGAAAATGAAGACTGCAAAAATGTCAGGGAATCCACCGAAAACATGTGAGCAACATGGGCAGATGTAGTCACTGGGTGGGATAGTTACAACAATTACTGACGGACGGAACATGAGAAACCCTCGATCAAATCAGTCACATACCATACTCTCCTCTGCTGGATCGCCCCATTTTACATTACGGAGCACCTTGGAGGAATTTCGGCCTAGACAACCTTCTCTGTCCCAATAACATTGATGGACTTAGCTTGCTCATTTCCCACAGATCGCTGAGTAATCCTCCAGGAGTTTCCCGAATGCAGTGTTCGGTAACTCTGCTAAATTTACCGTGATCAAGCATTCGAGCTGAAGTTCAAGGAACCGAAAGACGAGCAAGAACAGCATTCAAAAAGGGATATCGCTTGGAAATCCCAGGAAACCTCAGCTCCGCAAATTCTCCATTCTCAGAGAGAGGCGCCACGAAGAGCCAGGACGCAAACTGAATGGCAATACTCATTGTCGGTCGAGACCCTGGTTGGGTTGAACGTGGCAGTTAGCTTGACACAATTACTTGAATTTCGCTGTTCGTCAGTGGCATGCAAACATCTGTTTCTGGTAACCTAACCCATGGTATCAGCGGCATGGCTAACAACGAACGGGTATGCATACGGATCACATGTCGGATCACATGTCGGATCACATGTCTGCACGCTCGTTGTTGCGAGAATGGAGTGTTGGTGTAGGTTTAGATTTACAGAGCTTGATGTAGCGTTTTTGTGAGAGATTCTTCAACTGATCAGCACAATGTAGGTACTACTCTGCTTCGATAATAAAGTCCACAGTGCGAGTCATTTGGAGGTCTAGTGGAGAAATCCTACCAAAACAAGATTGAAATCAATAATATATTCTCCAAGTTTTCTGAAGTATGGTCCAGAATTAGCTGGTATACGAACTACCTGGACCTAAGCAACTGCTTCATGTCAGATACGCCTGGCCTCACTGAAGGAAGTGCCTCACAAGTTGCTTCCAAAGTTTTGATGGGGTCGCTCAACCCAAATCTAGAGACCATTGAATGCGCAAGAGATGCGACGGGTGCTAAAACTGCTGTGATACCAGCCCGCGCACATAGAGAGAGGTGAACAGCGGACACTGGAAGTCAAATATGTGAGGGAAATGATGAATCCCAGAACCCTGGGTCTTTGTACAACGGTAGCCAACTGCTGAATGTAGTGACAACAAGAACCACGAGATCTCACTTCAGTCTTTACAACTGCCGATACAAAAAAATGCAATTTGCTCCCTACCTACAGATGGAGGAACTGCACGCTTAACAGTGCAGTATTTGAAGTCCAGCGAGTTTTGACCAAGGATGACAGGTTATCACACAGTAACCCTGCAATTAAACTACTAGCTCGTGGCAAGCCTGTCATATCCTACGAGCAAGAATCACCATCATCCAGGTATGGTGCAGTTAAAAGAGCTAACGAATGGGAGCAATAAGATTAGTGGGGCGATTTTCCTTCTGGATGAGGTGATGTGTCTAGCGAAATGACCTCTATAACAAAAGTTTGTAAGGCTAGGAACGGTGCCGCTGTGCTTAGTGTGATCACAAGCACTCAATGCTGGAATCCAACATCTAAACGAAATGTTTGGTAGGATATTCGGTCTGGTAGGCATTATAATCATAGTACAATCGTTCACCTTTCGGGATGTCCCGAATGGCGACAAGAATCGCTCGAGCCTCCCCGTCAATGTTGTAGCGGACGCATCGAACGTTCTGTTTCTTCCTTCCCTCCCTAAAAAAGCATTCAAAAGATCAGAAGTGACTACAAGGAAGAAAGTATCAAAGGATCTGCGATTGGTGAGATAAAAGAGGTATAGGAGTGAGACCATGATTTATATCTTATGGTTCAGGAAAAGTAGCTCGGTGTCGGCCGGCAAATCTATGGGAGAAAAAAGAAAATAGTGCACTTACGGTGAATGGTTATTGATTCCGGAGACAAATCGAGCTATGTTTCCACACCTATCTGGGCAGATCACAAGCTCCTTGGCAGGATCGTCGCTGAAGAGAAGACCCATTATGCTATTACCAGAATCATGTTCACGACAGCGCATGTAGTCAACCTCTCCAGTGTACTCCGCTATAATAGTCAAATCTTTTATATTTCCATCAGCCTCAACTACAAATCTGCAGCACATATACACAATTCGCATGTTGAAAACCTGGTCAGCCGATGATTATCAATGACAGGTTATATAAAAAGGACAGGAAATGAGGAGGAAGACTTAGTCCTTGGAAAGGATCAAAAAGTCCGGGATATTTCGTGGGCCTCAGAATCAGCCAACCACCCTGCTCTAACATTGTACCATTTGTTGAAGTCCAATTCCATAGGTATAGTAATAAAATGTCTAGATTCTTACCCTTGCCGAGAATCATGTGTGACCATCAAGGGTGGCCATTCACCATGGCTGCACATTTTCTTACATAAATCTAGGGTAGCCTTATCTTCTTTGGACATAACCTGCCAGCAGCGCCATGTAGTAACAATATCATTAATTTAATCTCAATTTCTCACACGGAAGACGCCCCTGTGGTAAGTGGCTGGTAATCAGAGGCAAATTAAGAGCAAAAGAAACTCGAACTGCCCATCGAGTTGCAACGAACTTTCGCTGATTGAACCTTTAAGTCAAGTGATACATTACCACATGTTGACCTGTTCGATGAAATTAAAATTGAAGGTGCTATATACATCTGACTCCGATTGACAAAAGAAGGGAAAAATTCCACTGTCTATTCTCATAACACAGAGAGACAAACAAATGCCAGAGATAAGCGAGAGGATAAAATGATAAAAGAGAGCACCTAGGTAGTGGGATGGTGTAGAGATTAACCAAGCTATATTACCTGCATACCACCCTTCTCGTTTTCAGCGCGGTTGGCAGATCGAGGAGCCAAACCATAACTCAATGAATCAGTGAATTCAACGCCTATGCTGGTGAGAGCCGTGGCCAAAGAAGCCATCTGCTCTAATCTACGCTGCGGTTCAGCACATGGAACATACGGTAGTAGTCGCCGGCTTTTCTTTTGCAGACACAAACTTCCTCCACTAGGTCTGCGCCTCTTCCTTGTCTCTACACACTTCAATTCTGCATTCATGAAATCACAGCCAATGTCTGAGCGTTATTAGGTGATTCAAGCGCACCCGAGAGAACTAAGCATTAAGAAGGGATTTAGGAAATACTCAACATGTCACTGAGTAGAGACGAGGGCTAGTTGTCATTAGGTGTTGCCGCGAAAACCGTGAAGTTAAGGTGAATGATAGTCCGAACATTTCCTATTGAGACTTTGATAGGACCCTTCAGAATAAGGACGAATACCATAGGAAAGAGATATCTATTAAGAGATGAAGAATAAGAAAAGAAGAAGAAGGAGAAAAGACAAAAAAAAAACAAAAACAAAAAAAAACAAAAAAAAAAAAAACAAAACAAAACAAAACAAAAGAGAAACTGATGTCATAGAGCACCTGCAGTGAAAGGGGATGGTTTCTGAATCCGGAAGAAATCCACAATCTTCTTCTGCACCTTAGGAAATTCTGCACTCACACCGCAAGAAGCATACATTAATCTCCATGAGCCACTTTCAAAGGAAAAGCACGACGGGGCTCATGATCGAAGGGCATTGCCAACATAAGAAAGCAAACCCATCGGGAAAGGTGAAAGAAACGTCATTTAACGAGTACTTAAGTACTATTATGTGACGCATAATAGTCTATCGCCTTCAGTCCACACAGGCTCACAAAAGACATAAAAAAGGCAAACACTCGAGTTGATTTAATTAAAGCGTGTGCCTTCAGAGCCAAACTAACATTGACTTCCTCTCGTGGGTTGGTCATACTCAACATAGCGACATGACAGAGAAAAACGTACGTATACCTTGCGTACTCTAAAGACCAGGTTAGAAGACATACCCTGCACATGCGAAGATTGTGAACACTTTGGGCAGAACCAATCATCAAGCGGAACAGTGGGAAGAATAGGACTCAGACAATACATGTGGTATCCTCTGTCACAACGGTCACACAGCAGCATTTCCTGTTCTCCATCACCGCGGGCACACTCCTCACACAGTGTATTGTCGTATTTATCCTTCTTCAGCCTCCCGAGTTTAGAGGTCACTTTCTTTGTAAGTCTCACGTTCTCCCTACCCTTCACTTTCTCTTGACCAGTAACCAACTGCCTGCTTGGTTTAGACTCCTTGACCTTGGGCACGCCGTTTGGAGCCTTCAGGGAGGCTTTGGGAGCATATAAGAGAGAATCAATAGACACCACCTTGCATGAGTCTCCCCTGCAGGGACTGAAACTCGTTCTTGATATGGTTCCGCAGGGACCAATCTTCTCAAAAGCAGGTAGACAGCAATTGTGCCATCCATTTCGGCATACGATCACTCTCTTCACCCTCTTCCCCCTACCGCATTCCTCGTCCTCCATTGGTGTATATCGAAGTACAGGTCGTCAATCCTCCAAACTAATTATCCGTAAATCATTGCTGGAGATCACAATGATCACTATTGCCGGTTACTGGGATTGTGCACCGACATCGAATAACTCATATTGGACAAAGTCTACGCATGGCCGTAAAAGCCTAATGCAGCTTCAGAGAGAGAAGCATATGACAGCCCAGCCTACAGCATGTTATGTCGTCAGCGACAGCAGTGGCGCGACATTTGTTCGCAGACTTTCTGGTTAAGGTTGATGAAGACTACGCGAGTGCAATAACCAATTCTTGACATCAACATCCGGATAACAGAGATCGATACAGGGAAATCGCCATGGGAAAGCCGAGAGCAGCTAGGATAAACAAAAGGTTGGAGATTTTGGACATTGACAAGGGAATAAAGGGAATGAACGGAGCGGACATCAAGAAGTGGAGATAGGTACTAACGGGGAAAAAGGGGCTTCAGTGAAAGGCTCCGAGGGTTACACTTAATAACCTCAGTACCTGCGTGGTGACAATGTCGAAGTAGTGGCATATGGCCACCACAACACAAGAATCACAACGGCTATGATGTGCGGTTCACTGCTATGGCAAGAAAGCTCAAATACATCTCCCCTCTCCCTCAAATGAAATACACAACTCCAACCAAACCAAGCAACATATTAGGCAACCCTCGCACGCTTCCAAAATACCCGTAACAGTCACTGCAGATGTTGATCTTTGGACAAGCAACCAACTAAGAAATTTCAATATCAATCAGTCCTCCATGATGAACAGTGCAAACACCACCCCAACGCACCCCTACTGGGGGCACCATGAAACCTTCAAACAACACAAATCCAACCTCCTCAGAATACACACGAACCACACACCCAACCTAAATTGATAGACAGCCAAAGAATCAAATGCCACCGGAAGACCAAGTAGGCACTTCTCCGACTGTCACCGGAATTCACAACAGGTTAAAAACTTGAACGGGAAACTTTCCAACACGAGTGCGCAATAGCATGTGAACACGACACCACAGGGTGGGCAAGGAATATGCATAAAAATATATATGTAAAGATAAATAAAATAAAAAGGGGCATGAAGCAAAACGAGGAGCTGAATGACACGAGATCAAAAGGCAGCAACCCAAAAGATGCGCGACGCGAAGGTGTGCAAGGAGAGGGAGGAGGACTGATTGACGCCGAGCGATGTGGTCTCCACAACACACTCTCGGTTACCTTCAGGCACTGCAATATTGGCCTAAAACTCAGGCTCCCAAGACAAGAAGACGTGGGTCAGCAATGTAAACAACATAGTATCGCGACCATGCCCCGCTCCCACAAAGTCCTCCCCATCGACAGCTTCCCCGCACCAGAAGAAAAACACTAAAAAAAAAAAAAAAAAAAAAAAAAAAAGAAACTAAAAAGAGAAAGAAAGAAACGTGAAACGACCATCGGTCGGTAAAGAGACGAGGGCACCCAGGTATCGGTCAGTGTCGGCCGACCGCTGGATGGAGTCCCATAGGAGGCGAGCACGCATGGCGCATCAGGGGGGGGGGGAGGGGCTTCAGAGTCCTACACGAGCGAGGGATGGTTGGTTCCCTTCCACCACGCAAGCCTGCAGGGAACACGCTATTTTGTTCACCAGCAAGCTCTCATGTGTTCTCTTTAACGTTCCCCCCAACGTTCATCTTGTAGATATAGTAAACGTCGAGCTGGAATCAATGATGCTACGGTTCCCTGAACCAACCAACTCACAGACTGCGATCACTGCTCAGACGTGACGTTTATCATGACGTTTTAAAAACTGGGGACAGTAATTGACGTTGGCAGAGAAATGACAGGAATCGTTTATGCCTTATTCTCAAATGTGGGGTTGTTCATCTTGACATGAAAAACTTCCCCACATTTTTCATAAGTTCAAGTCATGTGCACAGTCATTTTGCGTCTCATTTCTGCAACTCTTCCTCGTGTCAGTCCACTTTCAACAAACTTGCATGAAAAGACTGTGATGGATTGACCATGTCGTGTATAGTTTGTGATTTTATTTTTTACTTTCTCGAAAGCATCGGATCATTGAAACAGTTTTGTGCACAAGTCAACTACTTTCTCTCAGTCGTTCGTTTACGTGATCAAAAACAATCAGTTTGACTCAAACCCAGTCCATCCTTCAGAGGTTCATATATTCTGCGAGGTGATGCTAACTTAGCCTTGCTTTCTTGCTTCCTTGCTGACGTGGGAGAGTCAGCACCCTTTGCAATCCAATCACTTCGCCAAATTGTGAATAATGACGCCACTGTCGTGACGTAGTACTGTCAATAAGGGTGACTGACCTCTTTCGCAGAGAACCTTGGACTGCACACATAATGACAGCTGTTGAGTCGGCACTAACATTGTGGTTTTTACTGATGATATTCGACTTATTCATTTTTCCCCTTAATCTCTAGGTTATCTATCAGGCTCGGTGTTTTCGGGATTGCGTTTTCTTAAATCTAAGGTACTGGCAGTCTTGACATTCCTACTTTGCTTGTCAAAGAAACCGCTTTGTTTCATGTTAGTGAAGCTGTTGAACTCTTCATGTTCACCATATCGTGACCAAGACCCTTGGCAGAGGAAAGTATCCATATGGTTAAGATTTGATGACACCTTGATTCATTTTATTTGAACGTGTTGCCTGGAGGCTTGACGATAGCTGTTTCAAAGTTCAATGGTCGCTCCACTGCATGCACTGCGAGTGGCCTAGAACTTCAAAAAGAGCAGGCAAATGAACCGACTAACAGCTTGGAAAGCCATTTCTGCTTCTCCCAAGAGATTCTTGTAAAAGAGAACTTATACATAATGCTGACAATACGAAAGTGCGAAAGTTCAACAAATTCGAACAAAAGTTTGCTTCGTGCAAATGAGGAATTAACGGGTCACAAGAATACTCAACCCTTCACAATCGGTTAAGCGAAGAAAATCACAGATAATAACAATGCTATGCTGTGTTTCAAATAGTATACACGGCCCAGAGAAAACACCTAAAGGTCAAAGCTCAAGACAACATGGCCCTGTCCAAAAGCTCCTTCAACTCCCCACTATTGTAGGACTCTGCACGAAAGTTAAGGATCACTATCAATACAATGCATGAAATACGTGGAAATTTTAGCAACTGGATGTGGCTTCGTCATTTATAATTCTCTTTTCTTCTCTTTTCCGCTTTAACAAAAGTAAAAATCACCATAAAATTTCGTATATTTTCTCCACTTTAAACTCCAGTCAATCAAATTCCGCGTAGGAATTGTGAGTTCCTTACCGTAAGTAATGTCGCATCCTCCAAAAAATTCACCGTCAATGTACAGCTGTGGAAAAGTAGGCCAAGCAGAGTATTCTTTCATGCCCTGTCGCAGATTATCATCCTCTAGAATGTTGACAGTTTCGTAGGGGACGTTCAAGGTGTTGAGGATTTGCACACAGGTGTTGGAGAATCCACATTGAGGGAATTGCTTGTTACCCTTCATGAACAAGACCACCTTGTTCTCGCTGAGAAACTTGTCAATAGCTTGCTCTAATTCAGGGGTCAGGGCTGATGTGCACAATCCACGCAACATCCATTAGGTCAATACTAAGCAAGCGAGGGACAACATTCTCGACTGCCCTTTGATCGAATCCTTAAAGAATGCTTCAACCTAGAAAAAAAGTGACATCGCGACCACAAAACACGAAAATCTAGGTGCAGTCGCAAAACCAATGCCTCTGTGTTCCATAATTCATCAGTCCCCACAGGCATCGACCTAGTTGAAAAGAAACAGCATGCATAAGGCTAAACTGTAACTCAGAATCTTCGAAAAGACTCCACAGATAGGTGATGCCGAAAGATCAAATTTCACAGCACAAACAAACCTTATAAAGAAATATCAGACTGTCTAATTCATAGGTCGAAGGTGAAGAAGAATCGACCACATTGCCTTTCACCACATGAAAATTCTCCGCCACCTCTAAAAATACCCAATTCACAGAATCTCCCACAATTCATAGAGCAACATCTACATTCAACGCACACACTAAACCCCACATCAAATCGTTACTCTCACACAGAGAACCGCTCACCTCCTCCACCCCCGGGGGCTCCGAAGCTGTCCCGAGCAACCCCGCTCCTGACCTTGACTTCACGCCTTGGAACCGCAGTAGAAAACCCACCCAAGTTGACCAACCCCGCCTTCCATGCACATCTAACGGAGGTGGGTTGAATCCCAGAAACCTCAGCTATCAAAGTCGTAGGCCGCACCACGTTACTAGCCTGCAAGCTGCGCATGGCGGTCGCCATTGCTGCCAACGCTCGAGCAATTCGTGTGCTTGTCACGGAATCACGCTTTCTGGCGCCGGCTGTAGTCTCTGAGTCCAAGATATCCACCAGCACCTACATCCATGAAACGGATGATAACCCCTCAATTCATCGGTGGGTTGTCTCCGTCTTCTCAAATAGGGCGAAAGATGAGGGTTTAGTGTTGCTTCGTGACTTGTTTTGGCAGTGATGGAGGGATCGCAGCAAGAATATGTCGGAAGTGGGAAAGAGAAAGTAGGTGAAGTGCAGGCTTTGCTTTTTGCAAAAGCTCAGGAGCTTGCGGGAGTTTCTCAGATCACACTAGAGATTCAGAAGGGGTGGACCACCGCGAATTGCTTTGAAGCTGTGATGACCAAGTATCCAGCTCTGAAAGCGATCAGGTCGTGTATGATGGTGGCTTTGAACCATGATTATGTTACGGAGCCTGTGGCTGTCAAGGATGGCGACGAGCTTGCTCTTATTCCTCCGATAAGTGGCGGTTAAGAAGAGATGTGGGAGAAAAGGCTTGGAGTCTATATAATCTCGTGATCGATCTTGGCTTTTATCTGGTTAATCTGTATTCATCCGTGATTGTGAGATATTTTGCAATTCGATCAGTCAGTTGTGTGGAATCGTGTGTAGCGAGGTCGGCGCGTAGCATTGTATTTACGTGCAACGTGAATGATTTCTGTATTGCCTTCTGTGAGGAATTTTATAGATCGAGTGTGGAGCTGATGTATTATGTGCACTACGCTGTAAAAGTTAGCACTTGCTGCGATTGCAGTTCATGTGCATTTTAAGAAAGAGAACCCATCATGGTCGTCTATGAGTTGGCTGTGTTGGATGGAATTCTTTGGGTGCATCACATAGCCAGTATGTTTGACCCCTGAGGTAGAGCCTATAAAATTTACCTCAGTTAGGATAGCAGTGTCTTTTTGATGAGCGCAAGGCATGAAGGCTAGAAAAGCCTTACAAAATTGCAAGGAATTAATAAACCATGAAGGAGCAACGATCAGAAGTAGGAACTCTCGAAGGAGCGAAAGTGAACAGAGATCGGTTACACTCTGAACACAACGCAAGCAAATTGAATTACCTGCACACTCTCAATACAAGACAAATGCACACCCAAATACAAAGTGGGACAAGCAAGGAAGTCTAATTGTTCGTTCACTACACAAAAAACTCCATAATGTGTCAAAAACCTATCGTATAATTGATGAGGACAATGAAAGAATAATGAATTTCAGGTGGAAAACCATGGAATTCAACAATTAGCGGCCTCGGCAGCTGCTCCATCACAAGCTTTGGGACACAGTATTCTCCAACACCTTTGTACATGCTGGGAGACTAGCAACGACGAGAGATACTAAAAAAACATTGAAAATGATTCCACCCAGAAGGCAGCAATACGGTCAGAGCCTCCTCCTTCCGCCCATAGCCAGGGCCGACTGAATTCCAACAATGATCGCCTCCGCAATATTATCCGCCAAATTCGCAGGGATAAATTCAAGGTCACGAAGCTCAGCTGCCATGCTTTCCACTCGGACAGGATCAGCTGCAGTCAAAGCGGGTGGCAGCAATGAAGTCGGAAGGGCGAACGCGCTCATCACTGGAAACAGAGTGCCGTCGTTCATGCCAACAGGTACCATGCTGTGACACGCTGGCGGCATCTTGATGGCTTTCCCTCCTTCAATCACTCACTCCAAAGAATCAGAAACCCAAACCCTGACAATCCTCCCTCCTGGGCGTCAAACCCTAATTTGGGAAACAATACCAGGGCCTCTGATGATCCCCCGCGACAAAAGAAACAGCATGAAACTACTTAGATTAATCGGAAAAGGAACACTACACAACTGCACGTAAGAAATTTCCTACACAATTCGGCAATCAACAAATTCACAAACCTCAGTGCAGGTGTTCAGCTCTCGAGAGTGGCGTTTTTTTTTGTTTGTTTGTTTGTTTCTGCTCTACAATCCGAGCCTGAGCGTGAAAACCCTAGCGGAATTCGGTCGTCACAGATACGCAAGCCACGTCGCGTGGAACGTGAGATTGCAGATCGCAAATAACAACAACAATCTGTCGAATCTTAAGATCCACAATCAATTCTACAGTTGTGAAGTAGCATCGCTGCAACCTCCGAATGAAGAGGCGGGGATGGGAGCAACCGCTTGTTAGACTGATGGTTCGTATGCGCCGACCGTTGGACGAGAGATTTTTTTTCTTCTCTGACCTTGGGACGGTCGATGTGGTTACGTGAGTGAGTCTGTCCACCACAATAAATAGAATACACTATATTTTAAGTAATAACAATATTCTCCAAAACAAAAGTCAAATCTGTTCTTGGGTTGGTGTTGTTCACGCTTTTTTTAATACAAACGATTTGTGGACGTTTCTAGTTTTATTTTTTAATTAATAATCAAATAAAACCTAAAACAACACGTATTTCACGTTTGATTTTGAGCGAGTCTACCTTAGAGCAATGTAATAGATATTGTTTGATCACTACAAGAATTTTAAATCTCTATATTAAGGCAAAAATATTGAGAAGAGACCATAAATTAAAATTAAAGTTTGTAGGAGATTAGAGCTCAATTCGTTACTAGACATTAGTTTATTTTTTGTGATTTTTTAAATTTTTCTAGTCCAATAACATCAATATTTGGTAAAGATTGAATTTGTGAGGACAATCAATAAATATTAAAGTCAATCGTTACAAAATGTAGAAGTATGCTTTTTGACGTCGATATTTTTATATAGCCAATTTGTATGAAGTCATGTCTTAATACATATCTATAATGTCTGTAAATTTGGTTTATTTAAATAATATTTATCACAAAATAATAACATTAATATAGCATTCAAAAAATCTGAATACAATAATAAAATGAGAAACACGTTATTTAAAAAATACAAAAGAAAAATCTTAATATTTTTTACATTCTTCCACAAAAAAATAAAAAGAGTATTTTGTACAAATACACTTTTATTTTCATTAATTACAAATTAAAAAGTATATTTACATTTATACATCAAATTTCAAAAATGATGCATAGTTTAAGAACCTTTCTATATAAATCATTCCGCATCCAATATTTATCACTTACATGCTCAACAACACAAATTACATGTAGAGTTTTATTTATATACAGGCAAAGACACACATACGCGGAACAAGATAGGAAAACGAAAGTTTAAAATATATTTCTGGTGACTGCCCGCGACCCGGAAGAAAAGATCCAGACACACCGCAAGAGATGCCCGGAGGCGACGGGACGACGAGCGTCAACGAAGCAGAAGATGAAGCCCAGCGAGTCCAGCAGCGACAATGGCGTGAGCGCGCGCCACCACCACCCCACCATCCCCTCGCCTCGCAACCCCCCTTAAGATCCCCCAGGGCCGCGAGGCGGTGTGAAACTGACGAAATCCTCTATGGCCGCGCAATCCCAGTGCCCCATAGCAGCCCAACCCGATGACGATGCCAATGGGCGACGACTCTCTCGCTTGTCAGGCACTCCAATCTCCGCCCCCACCCCACCCACCCACTCCATCCCACCCTCGCACACTTCCCCCGACGCTTGCACCTTGCAGCTCCTCCCCCCTCTCCCTGGAATCTCATCACCACGGGTCTCGCCGCTAGCGCTGGCGCAACGCACTCGGACCTCGCACGCTTTCCTGGTTACAACAACCACCATCTGGACGCCATCCATCACTTACGGGAGTCGTGTCTTCATCTCGTAGGTGCTGCCCCTTCCTCTCCCTCTCTCGTGTCTAGATGGTTCCTTCAGCGCGTACGCTTGATGGCTCGCATTTGGCGTGGTTTTGATCACTCGGTTGTTGATTCGTAATTTTCGCGGTGAATTGCCTTGGTTGGGTTTTGTAGTTTTCAGGGAGGAGGATGTGGTTGGTGGTGTTAGACTTTGGGTGTAGCAGGTTAGGTTGCGGTTTGGAGCTATCAACAGAGACGTTTTAATGGTCAATTTAGAGTGCGGTGTGTTTTTTTTCGTCACTTGGAATCGGGAATGTTCGTTGTTGGAGTCAGGGCCATGATTGATAGCGAGCTCTGTTCCGGCGGTTTGCAGATTTTGGGAACTCGCGCAATTGCTAACGTTTTAAACTCCCTCGTAATTTAATTTTGGGATTTATCAATCAATATTAGACTACAACAGCATTCTGTTTTAAATTTTTTGTTAGACTTACTGAAGGTCAGTTCGCATGGGTATGGTGGGTATCATTAAAATTTCCCTCCTATTAGCTACCCACTGGGGTAGCTGGATTGTTCAGATGAAATTTCTGCCACAATGTTTGAGCTGCATTGCTAATTGGAGAGGGACTCGCTTGCAGTGACTGTTGTCAAATTTTGACATCATGACGATGGTGGCGCGTCCACCTTATGGTGTTGCGGCAGCGGTCACCACGATCTCCGTCTCCAGCACCGTCCGTCCTGCAGGGCTCAGAAACTGTAGTTTAGGGTTTCGCAATGCTGCTGGGTTGCGGACGAGTTTCAAATTGGTACGCAGGGATAGTTGTGGAAGGGATCGGTATCAAGGTGATCAGGGCAGCAGGCGTCAAGTAGTGCAACCCAGGGCCGAGCTCAATGACAATCAGAAGGAGAGTCTGCAACTCTATGGCCAGATTGAGAGGTCAGTTAGCTGAGCACAAATAGGATGCTTCCAATCCGCAATCGTAATTTTTTCAAGGAGACTGTGCCGGTACTTTTCCAAGTTTGCTCAGATTTCCGATAATGTGCTCAAGTACCTTTAGTTCAGAGCAATCAGTGAACAATATGAAGGTCTGTGGAACCATTACAACGTGGAATCCTGCTAATAATCTGCAAAATTAAGCTTCGGAACTTGTTACATGTTCTGTACACACGCTTACATTCTCCTTCAAGTCTTGCTATGAGAACAGAATTCTATTCTAGACTCTTATGTATGTGACGTTTTAGACGATTAAATCATATTCTTTCTCATTCTTATTTTTGTTTGTTTGTTTGTTTATTTTCCAAATATATACATAGTTGTAAATAACTTCTTTGGGGCCTTGTATGAACTTCTGCCTAACTGGAACCTGCTGGAGCACTAGGGTGATTGCAGATACAGCTAAGCGCACTAGCGGTGGCAACATGGACCCAGGAAGATGGCAAGATATTCAGGTGGACAAGTGTTTGGATTTCTTCGGACCGTTTCAAGATATTTGTTGTCTTGTGCATCCCAAGTTGGGCAGCTTTACCTAAACAACAGACCGGTTTTATTATGTCTAGGGTCAAAAAATCTTTCTGTCATGTACTAAATGAACCGAAGCGTTTTTATCGTAAGATCTCTATGTGCACTTGAAACGAAAGCAACTTTATTGTGTTTATTTACTATATTAGTTGATGATCTACACAATTATTTTTTTTCTGTAAGAGCGAGAGAGTCGATTTATTTTAACGGAGGAACGTGGCATGAATGTAGGGCGCGTGGGTTCTGACACCAAGTAGGAAGGAAGCTGTGGCCGTGATGCACTTTATAGGAGGAGTGTTTGTAGGAGCAACACCCCAGTTGACATACCGTTTGTTCCTCGAACGTCTTTGTGAAAGGTAGTCATTGTATCGACCATTGTTTGTGTCGGGGTTCTTCATTTTTGGTAGTGCATTTAGTTACAGTCTAAATCTGCCTTTGGATCTTTGAGCATATCTTTTTTGCTTTGGCAGAGGGTTTGTTATAGTTGCAACGCCGTACGCTAGTGGGTTTGATCACTTGAGAATCGCCGATGAGGCCCAATTCAAGTTTGACCGTTGTATGCGAGCTTTAATGGATGACTCCAAGTATCGACCATTGGTGCAGTACCTCACTTCTCTTTTCTATTCAACATGAAGGCTAGCTTTTTCTTCGTTTCTGTATTCTATACTCATGGAGTTAGGCACCAGTTTCTGTGGATAACAAGTGCTGTCAAACTAATAACTTGATGTGTTACTTCTGGTAGGTCGAGAACCTACCTGTTTATGGAGTTGGACACTCACTTGGAGCATTAACCCACCTTCTGATAGGTGAAAACTTTTTCAGAATTATATATTGTAAATTTTTAATGTAAAAAACCTTTTTTTTTTTTTTTTTTTTTTTTTTTTCTCCGGGTCACTCCACATCTTCCACTCTTGCTTCTATTTACAATGCTTCCTTTAAATACTGAAGATGTTGATATTGCATGAGGAAATATGTCTGAGACAATATTAATGAGTGAAAATGTTCAAATTGTTGCATCTAATTTTGACGCTGGCTTCGCAGGAGCTAGATATGCTGTCCAGCGGAAAGGCAATGTAATAATTTCGTTTAACAACAGGGTGAGCAATACTTTGTGTTGAACGTCGCTTGGGCTATATAGTTCCTTGTGCCACTACTTCGAAATGGTGTGTGATCAGATCAAGGTTAATTTGTTAAAATATTTCAAGATACTCTGACCTTAAGTGGAGGAAGTTATCTACAGCCTCTCTTTGTTTTTTTCTCTCTACTTCTTCTTTTTTCTTTTCTATTTTCTTTTCTATTTTCTTTTCCATTGTTTCCTCCACCTCATGATTTACGTAGAGAACATTAATGTCGACTAGAAGTTTTATAATGGCAATATCCTTTTAACTGAACTTCGATGCTTTCGTGCAGTCAGCAAGTGATGCAATTCCGTTCCTATCGCCCATGGTAGCACCTATGACTCAAAACCTTGGCCCACTACTAGCACAGCTCACTTCATCACCAGCTGTTCGCCTCGGAGTAAGTAGCCTCCTCAACTCTAAAATTCACCATTAATGTTGAGCAAATAGCAAAGAAATATCTTGCAATAACAGCAGACTTGGTCGCCTTCATTTTCCAGAGTCGATAGTTGAGCGAGGTTGAACACTGTCATTGTGGTTGCATTCTTGAAGTTGACTGGTGGGTGAGATCTGCAGGCAGAAGTTGCATTGAGTCGGTTGAAAGAGTTTGGGAACGTAAGCCCGCCTGTGGTGAAGCAAGTCTTGCCGTTCTTGGAACAACTACTCCCTCTCTACGAGGACTTCGCGAATGGAAAGGACCAATTTACACCTGCCCCTGGAGAGACTGATCGCTTGGTGCGTGCTTTAGCTTTAGTGACTTCACCATGACTTCCCTCATAATGTGTACTAATGTATTCACCAACGTAAAGAGGCTAGCTTATCAGAAATTGTCATTTCGTTTCTAGAATTTCTTATTATGAGGTCTGTTATTCGCAGATAAAATCATATTATGGAGTTCAGCGAAATTTACTGATCAAGTTCAAGGATGACACTATTGATGAGACGCCTCGGTTGGCACAAATTTTGGTCCAAAAATCAGCAGTGAGCGCTTTCCTTGACCTCACGTTACGAGCTTTACCTGGGGATCATGCTCGCCCTTGCCTTCAGGTAAGTCCAGTTTAGTGCGCATAAGCACTCCGCCGGTGGCCCAAAAGTTTCAGAATGCCGTTTGTGTCTGAAATGCATCGAAGAATTGGTGGTGGTACATGCTGATCAATCATGCTGTGGCCCGAGCTTTGAACAAACACCCACACACACACACCAAAAACTAAAAAAACTAAAAACATAAAATGGGGGAGCACTAATCTTTGATCAAAAGGCATCTATGATCTGTTTAGAGTACTATTCGAACAGTGACGTATTCTTCTATTTACAAGCACCGTGAAAACTGATTGGATTTCAGGTTTTCCCGGAACTGCCCGACGAGCTGACCAGTACTCTAAACCGAGGCACTGAGATGTTTTCGAGTATAGCAGCTGGCACCCCATGGGCGGATCTCGCAAAAGGGTTCGGAACAAATCCTGCAGCCCAACGCCTCCGATCTGAAACAATTGCCAACATTGAGAGCCTAGTAGATGAAATAGCGATCTGGGTGTCTGCCTCTCCCAAAGACCGGCCACTGTTGAAGGAGTACACGAACTGAGGCCACGTGCTGTGTAGTAGCTCGGTTCTACCCTTTCCTGATACAAGTGATTTATATCAAATGATATACTCATGCCATTTGGAATGAGCACAAAGTTGTACAGATTCCTATACCAAGCGTTTAATCCGTAGATCCAAGCACACGATTGTAACCTGTAATTTGAATTGTACATTTTTTTGTAGGAAAAAAAGGGTCAGATTCACTTTCATGCTCTCTTATCCAGTTTTGTTCGCACTGTGGCGTGTTAAAGGCCCGTTTTCCTATTGGGCATCAAACCGATTGACTTACAGTGTGCAGCAGAATGAAGGATCCAAAATTGTGAGCCTCTTCACTGGAAGAGGTTGCTCTTTTACTCTACTCTCTCCACATGTATCCAGTCCCTTATCAATCGCAAACACCAACAAACTCACACTTGGATTCTCAAGGCTTCTGTAGATGGCGGGACTCCATGCTGACAGGCAGCGCTGGGCTTTGAACCCCAAAAATGTCATTTCCCCAAAAAAAATTATCCAGAAAGGTCATATCCACATTGTGAATCTAAAAGCACAGTCATCACCCAGTTTGAGGCCAACAAGAGAACCACTTGGAGCTCAGAACTGAGACCAAAACGAGGAATTCATCGACATGGGACAGCGTCGCGGCGGCAACGCTGCGGGGCGAGTCGGTGTTTCGCTCGCTGCGCACCCAAGGGCCACGTGGTTCCACAGAGAAATGAGAAAGAACAAGGGGCCTCGTTGGACCAAAGAAACTGCACCACATATGGACCACGCCGCCCGCCCGCCACCGCTTTTTCGGCGGCCCGTGTGTGCTGCTTCTCTGTTTTTTTTCCATCCACTTAGTTACTTGAGCCCATGAGAATGCGCAGACTCGACTTTGCGATTGATTGATTCACTGGGGTAATAAGGATGAGAGCTACGGCGCAGCTGACTCTGGGGACATTCTCCACGCCACGGACTGGTGGCCAGCTTCGTGGCCAGGGGAAGGGAGTGAGGAAGCACACACTGAGCCAAAAGCGCACACTCGCCCAGTATTCAAAATTCTTACCTCGTTCCTCACGCCTACAAAACTTAAGTTTCTACAACTAACTAATTCTTTATTCGCTTCTTTGTAGTAAGAAATTATAATTAATTAATTAATTGTTTAAAAAATAAATAAAACATTATACGTATACTTTTAAAGTATGAAATTGCAAACGGCTTTGATGTGTCAAGAGAGGGGAGGATGAACTTCGTTTTCTTTTTCTTTTTCTTTTTTCTTTTTTTGTTGTGAAGGGGATACACATGTGCCCCAATCGGATTTCAGTGAACAGGATCTCCTTACAGATCCCTTGAAGAAACCTGCCTAATTCCCCTAAATTGGAGGATCCAAAAGTATTGAATGAGTGGCCCCCTGGAAATGGTTTGGTTCCTACAATCTGGAGAAAAAAAAATTCTTAACACTCTTTTGTGGAAGTACCCCCTTCATTTTAAGTTTAATTTTATCTGGACACGTGTCATGCTCATATCATTTTTACATAATTTCCTCCTAATTGTCTCTAATCCTTTTCCTTCATTGTGACATATCTCAACGTAGTAGAAAAAACAAAGCTAGGTCAAACACATTCCGTGACTTTTACCTTTTTATTAGTTCGGAAAGAATTCCCGAGATTGCAAAAGAAAAGTAATTAAAAATAAAAAGTGAGCCCAGAAAGTAAAATGTGAGAACATGCAGGGGGGGGCCACATACACACAAAAGCTGCGGTGACCTCGTGGCAAGCGTCCGGCACCTTGGAGGGGGCACGTGGAATCAGAATATTCCCCTCGATGTGCTCCTTGTGTGGCCACAGCGCCTTCACTGCTGCGGCCCCCCATAAAATGGATGGATGTGTTCTGGATGGTATACGTGCACGCGCGTTGACATCGATCAGGATGAATGAAGCACGGTCTTCATTATTGTGTGGGTATCAGAACTGGAGTGGGTGATGCGGTGATCTTCTCCGGAAGCATCTCGCGCCTCTGAAATAACTACGAAGCACTAATGAATATACAATTATTTATTTATTTATTTATTTATTTTTGGCTTGTATTTTAGTAGAAAACTATACAAATATAATAATGAATTTGAATAAGAACAAGAGTACTTCAAGAATTGCAGAATATGGACACATTGTTTAATAAAGTTGTTGGATTGTTTATACATGTTCACTTGTATCGAGTTTTTTGTAATTTTTTTTATTATCTCTGTGTCAAATCACCAAGCTCTGTGTGTGTGTGTGTGTGTGTGTGTGTCAGTACTATTTTGTAAACAAGAAACAGAGTAGTGTTAAGAAGGGTTAATTTCCAAAATGGAATTCTATTCAATAAACGGATTTTAAAACTCATTATACAAACAAACCACAAACTTATATATAAATATCTATGTATATACACACACCGCTACATATGTGTCGGATTGAAATTTAATGAGGATGTTATAAAACTATAATTGTGGATCTGACCTATCATTGCTAAAAGAAAATGACATACTTTACACATCTACATGAACTAGAGATCAGGAAATCATGTGCTTAAATTCCCATTCAAACTCTTCTCCTATTCTTGGAATGCATTTTTAGGTTTGATTTTGATTTTTGGTTTTTGGTTTTCACAGTCATTTCCGTTATTGTATTTTCAATTTGATTGTCATATTTGTGTTATTAACTCCTCATGAGGTTTCACTTAGTGCCAACCTGTATGATCTAGGAGCAGGGGAAAATGTTTTACACTCAATTTTCTTTTCAAAACTTCTCAGTGTATTAAAATATTTATTTATGGAAGCTCTTTTGGAAGCCATACAGTTTGTAGGAAGTTCGTGCAAAGTGCTATAAAAAGTAATAAACTTATCGTGAAACTTCAAATGCTTTAAGAGGCATATTGAGAAGCAACAAAACATTTAAAGAGTTTTGAAATGCCCATCTGATGAACCAGTTTGGAAAGACACATGGATAGAGCTGTTATATGCTTTAACAAAGTTTCTCAGCACTTTTAGAACAAACGAATATGTTTCTGATCACATGGATTAAGTTTCCACATTTTATACAATCATGTTTTTTTTCATTTACTCACTTTTGTTGTAATCCTACCTTTTTATTTATTCATTTTTAAAATATCTAAAATAAAATCAAATAAACATCTAAGAAACAAATACAAAAACACATTTTTAAAGATACTGTTATTGTTGTTTGGTTTCTGTTTGTTTATCTATTTGTTTGTGTTTGTGTTTGTGTTTTTGTTTTTTTGTTTCTGGAAACAAATTCATGTTTGATAGCAAGATATTTCTAAGGGAAAACAGAACAAAAAATTAAAATTAAAATAAATAAATAAACAAATAAACATATTGTGTTACTGTTCAATATCAAACACACAAAATTCCAGAATTGTTGGTTAAGTATTATCTGTAATAAAATGAAATAGCCTGTCAAATTGCCTTACAATTTTTTTGAATTCTCAAATAATGGTATATATATATATTTTTTTGGATAACATTTTAAAAAATAGTACTTACTACAAATGTTTTTATCACAATGCTTAAAATATAGCCGATTAAATTATTTTTCAATCATAATATAAACACGCTTATTATTGTACAGGACCTCATTTTGATGCAAATCAGAAGCACATGTAAATCATTGTCAATATGTTTCAATTGTAAGTCATATTTACAAACACAATTGACTTCTTCAAATATTTATACCAATAATATAAATTTAGTACATACAAATACAAGATTTGGAGTAACGTGATAATAAATGTATGATTTTTAAACTTTTACACTTCAAAGTTCTCACACAAGATTTGAGCAATTGTTTATTGTATGAAGCTCACCTCAAAAAGGATTCCAAACTTTACTGACCCTTAACATGTTTTTTTGAAAAAAAGCATGTAAATACTTCTTCAAATCAAACAACTTTCCTAGCTCTTTACATCTAAGAATACATCAGAAGACATATCATCACTACCCACACAACAAATAATGAATCATAAGTAAAACTGAAACACGCTAATAAACAGATTTCCTTACTTTCTTAATCATTTAATGACCAAGTGTGAACACAAAGTGAGAGGTAACCCTCTTCACACCGCAAGTAATCAAGTCTCGGGCTCAAGGCCACGACTCCTGTTCATCAACAAGGAAAGTCAAACGTCAACTGAGGTCAAAAGTGAAAGGTATCGTAGTAACTTTATCTCTCCAATTTTTGCCCGATCGTTTTTATCTCATGATAACTCCCAGTTACACGGGCAGGGTAGAAAAACAATACTACGATTGGGCAGGACAGGATGACACATGGGAAGTGAGGCTTACGTTGATATCCGCGAGTACCTGATGGAAAGATCCACGGTGGGCAGAATTCGTCCAGGTGGCAAAGGTATCATCCAATGGGATTCGTCCACGTCGTCTAGAGGCTTCTCTTTAGGTTTTTATTTTTATTTTGATTGTTCTTGTTGTTAATTATTATAGTTCACGCTAGTAAAGTTCGACGAGAGTAGTCGACATTTCGGGAAGGGGACAGCAGATTCGCCGCGTAATTTTACTATGTTTTTTTTCGCTGTTGCCGTTAAGGTGTTTTTTGGTGGTTGCTCCCGCCGCGGATTGATTGCTTGTTCATTAGGTCTATGGGATTCAGGAGTAGTGTGCGTGTGTAGGTGAGTGCAATCTTTTACTTGGTAAAGAGAGGGTTCTGTGTGCTACGTGCTGGTTTTTGTCAGTTGTGGATTGAACGAGAGCGGAAGAAAGGATTTTTCGTAGGACCTGACGGGTGGAGCAAGATTAGAGACGGAAATAGGATGGTGGGGCTTGAAATTGAAAAGAAAAGGAGATGTGGAGGAAAGTGTGAAGGAAGTCACCGCTGGCTGATACTGTTTGAACCAGTTATTGGACATGAAGGGATTGTTGCTATAAGTCGAAGCCAACGTCCGAAATCTCCTCAATCCAGACCCCCGGCTTGAACCAGTTGCAATGTCGTGGAACGAGAGTTAGTTTTAGAGCCGGACAAACACATCACCCTTCTTCACTTGAGCTCCGGAACTTTTTGTGGCGGCTTCGTTTGGTGGGAGGAGGGGGCAGGGATAGGACTTGCGACGAGCGTGTCTCGAAGAGGTTGAGCTGATTGTTAGGATTGTTCTTGGTTTTAGACGGGTCATTTACTCATTTGTTCATTTGCTCATATATTTTTGTATTTTTCCTTCTTGTGGAGGAATTTCTGATTTGGGAGTGGTGGAAGAGTCTGGGAATTTGGGATTTGAAGTCTTTTGAGGTTTTTTGTGAGGAGGTGTTTGATGAAGGCGGTCGGAGGGATGACTGCTTTGCCTAGAGCTGACATCTTCGTAAAGATGTCGAGCTCGGTGACGAGGATTGATGGTGGGAGTGGTAGTACAAAGCCTCGTTTCTGTGAGAGCGGGTGTGTGAAATGCGCACCGGTGTCGCTGGCTCTCAGGTCGGATGGGTCTGCTTCTTGCCAGCGGTCGGAATGCTCGTCGTCGCCATTGTCGTCCGCGTGCGGCAACGCGATGTTTCCAAGCTCTGTGTCGTTTGGGGTGGGTAGGAAGAGCCGACGGGGTGTGGCCAGAGGTGCGGAGGCTACTGTTGCAATTTTGATGGAGGAGAGAGGCTCCAGCCATGACAGGAGCTCAGACTCGCAAGTGCTTGACAGTTTGAGGGATGTTATTCAAAAATTAGAGAGCCAGAATGCCGTACTGACACACTCGCGGGGGCAGAGCGCACCTGCCGCGGAGGATGTGGACCTGACTGTTGTGGAGGATCTTACTACCTTTGGCAGTGAAGATTCCCTTTGGTTGAAAATGAGAAGGGAAGCACGCTGGGATTCTATCAAAGAGCCAGCCCTAGCCAGTTATTTATATTCGACAATATTATCCCACAGGACACTGGAGAGAGCGCTTGCTTTCCACCTGGGGAACAAGCTCTCCAGCAGCACGCTATTGAGCACACAGCTCTTTAGCCTTCTGAATGACACATTCATGGAGGATGCTGACATTAGACGCGCTATCCGCGACGATATAGAAGCTGTGAAGGAGCGCGACCCCGCTTGTGTATCTTACACTCATTGTTTGCTAAATTTCAAAGGCTTTTTGTCATGTCAAGCTCATAGAGTAGCTCACAGACTTTGGAATCAAGGCCGGCACTCGCTGGCCCTCGCTATACAGAGTAGAGTTTCTGAGGTTTTTCAAGTTGACATACATCCTGCAGCCAGAATTGGCTCCGGCGTACTTTTCGACCATGCCACAGGGGTGGTAGTTGGAGAAACAGCAGTTATAGGAAATAATGTTTCAATTTTGCACCACGTCACTCTCGGGGGGACCGGTGCTGTAGGAGGTGATCGTCATCCGAAAATCGGTGATGGCGTCCTCATTGGAGCTGGGGCTACCATACTCGGCAATATCACAATTGGAGCTGGCGCAAAGATTGGGGCAGGTTCCATTGTGCTCATTGATGTGCCCCCACATACTACAGCCGTAGGAAATCCTGCTCGCCTAATTGGGGGCAAACAAAAGCCTACCAAGTTGAAGGAAATTCCCGGTGAAACTATGGATCATACCTTCTTCATGAAGGACTGGTCTGATTATGTCATTTAGAGATAATTCAACCTTATATTTTAGTTAGATTTTTTTGACGTCCCACACAAATTTGTGTTAGGATACTCTTCTTGCAGCGAATACATGCATCCAAGCATGCACTGTTCTGTGTTGGCGGTTGTACTCTGAAATGTGTGCATGATTCATGCCAGGATAGAATGTACGTTTACAAACTTGGCCATGTGCAGTTGCAATCAATTGCGCATTTGGGCGATACCTGTCTATTGCATCAGGAATATGCCACTGGTTAGAGTACCAAAGTGGTTTTCATCCGGTCCATTTCCAGAAGATGACAGTGAACAGTGAAATACCTGTAACCTAATCCGCAACACCAAACTTATCTCGTTCTAATGCGTTGCGTGTGGTCCTAAGTGGGCAACTGGTTCTGAGTAACCGCTTCCAGCACGAAGCACGTCATTGTGCGAACACAGCTTGGAAAATGAAAAGACGCGGTGAACGGATGGTAGTTCTTAACAAGTACTTAACATGTGATAGTTCTTAACAAGTACTTGGTGAAGACAGTGAAACCAGTTCTCTCGGAAGGGAAACGGGGACTTCTACAGTTCGGACAAAATGAACATGCACAGTACAAGTTCTGTGTTAATGTACCAATACTTAACCCTGATACCCTCAAGACATACTGAGACAATTGCAGGCATTTACGCAATGAAGCAAGCCCCTTAAAAATGGGAAATTAATGAGAATATGTCATCATGACGAGAGATTGCCGATAGACAAATCGCAGCTAAAATGATTATTTGGACAGGGCAACGAAAACAGGTAAGATATCTGAAGCTGTGAAGAGAAAAGCACAATCCATGAGAATGAGACTGTGTAACACTGAATAAAAGCCAATTGCGGAGAGGATCATACTTGGAGGTCTACAGAAAACTTCTACCCTCAAAGTCCACGCAGCGTAACCTACTAAAGCTTACTCGCGGTAAGGCAAACGCTGTTTACAGCAACGAAAACGAAATCGTCCAAGAACACATTGAAGGGTCAAATATGCAACATCGAAAGAACCACTAAAAATCAATGAAGTCAAGAAGTAGGCAACCTAAAAGTGAAAAACCCACAATTTTAGACTCTCAAGCAGGGGAATGCATGGAAAGAGCCAAACCTCTTGCTCGGAGGGAAGATTCCAACACAACCCATCGCCATCGGATGCCTCTTTGAAAAACCCGAGAGATCTGATTCCGACTAGAAACATTCACAGGTGTCGTTACCCAGCATCAGAAGATGCTACACACATCCCTTAAAGACATCCAAATTATCAACCAGCTAGATGGCGTAAATTCTCAGTTTACAACTATTGCATAAATTCTCAGTTTACAACTATTGCAGACTGGACGACCCGATGAGCAATGATGTGGATTACGAAAGCATGCGACTCCCATTTTCTTTCTGTTGAGATCATTAAATGTAGCAGACGTTCTCCATAATATTTACTGTAGACTATAGTAATTAATGTAGCTACAGTATTTAGAGTCTAGTGGAGAAGTACTGTTCATCCTCTTATCTTCTATCTTCTTGTGTACTAGACACAACCACATCAATAGATTTTTGTGTGTGTGAAGCTCTCTCTCCTTAGAAACCCTTGTGTGTGTATGACTTACTACTACTCTTGTGTGTGTATGATTTACTACTACTCTTGTGTGTGTATGACTTACTACTACTCTTGTGTGTGTATGACTTATTATTACTCTTGTGTGTGTATGACTTACTATTACTCTTGTGTCTTTCTAAACATCCTCAATACATTATCATCACGATTCTTTTCTACACACTATCGCAATTTCTTTTGCTCTAGTCTTTGACTCTTCAAACCTGTTGCTACCCTTGCTTAGTGTGTGGGTCAGATCCTGTTCTTCTTGCTGGCCCCTCACACATTAGCTGCTTGTTTAGAGCACTTGTTCCACTCTCTGCATTGCTTGCTCTGAATACTTGATCCAGCCCAACTCCACCCTCTCCTTGCTCCCTGCTCCCTGCTGTGCCCCAAACTGCCGCCGAACAGACGCCGAATCCGCCGCTGCCACCCTGTCGCCGCTGCCGCTGCCCGCCACTGCCACCCTGCTGCCCTACCGCTACCTGTTGCTGCCATTTTATTGTTGTTCTGCTGCCTTAATCTACAACTCTTTCTCCTTAAAATATATATATATATATATATATATATATATATATTAGTTTTTTCAAGTTCAAGTTTATCATTTTATTTGACTTTATATTTTAAGGTACGTTTTACTCAACTTTTCTATTTGATCTTGTATTTTCTTTACAGATTTATTTATAATGAGTGCTTCAACATTTTCAACTGTTTCTACTATGGTTCTTACTATTACTAGTGCATCCCAACATTTTTAAGCTCTTTTATTTCCACCATTGACTGTGGATGGAAACAATTATCTATTATGGACAAAAATGGCAAAAGTAAATTTATTTGTAGAATAACTCTCGGATGCCATTATGTTTGAAGAATCTCCTACAACAAGTATTTCTATATCTCCTGCTATTCGTTGGAAAGCACTTCTTTTCCTTTGTCATTATCTTGTACCCACATTACAACATCAATATTTGGAAATGGAAGACCCTGCAGAACTTTAGAAGAATCTTAAATTTAGGTTTGATCATCAAAAGACCATTTTTCTTCCACGTGCATATCATAATTGGACACATTTACATGTCTTGGATTTTCCAAATTTAAATGCTTTCAATAGTGAAATGTATAATATTGTTTCATAATTACGATTATGTGGACAAAGCATTTTTGAAGAAGAAATGATTGAGAAAATTCTCTCTACATTTCCTCCTACATGTGCTCTGCTTGCACAACTATACAGGAACATGAAATTTCAGAGTCATTTTGATTTCATGTCCTGTCCACTTCTTGCGGAGAAGCAAAATGAGCTACTCTTGCGCAATGCGGAAGCTCGTCCTATTGGAACTACAGTTCCTGAATCTCATGCACTTAATATTTCAAAGTCTAAGAAGAAATTATATAAATATGGGAATCGTGCTCTTAAGTATCAAGGTAGTCATAGTCAAGACCATTTCTATCCATATGGAAAGAATAAACGTTCTACTATTAATTATAGTAAAAAACAAAAATCAGAGATATGTTCTTGCCATAAGTGTGGAATGATTGGATATTTAGCACATGCGTGCCGTACTTCAGAATATTTTATTAAAATGTTCCAAGAAAATAAGAAATTACGAGCTGAGGCTCGTGAAGTTCATACCATGGATGCGTCCATGGATTCAATTGGTGCTGATGACTTAAAGGCTTATATGACTGATAGAACCTCTAATGATGAATCAAATGATGTGCTCATTGATTCTGCAACAACACATACTATCTTACGAGATAGACAATTTTTTATTGAAAAATCTTCAACTTGGCAAACTAAAAATATGATGACCATGGCCATGTAGTCCTATTAATCCGTTTAATCCTATTAATCCAACATCAGGACTATTTCATTATTTTTTGGTCTTTGTTGATGCATCAGGTAAACAATCACATGTTTCATTATTATCAACTCGAAACATGGTGTTTGCCAATCTTATATCTATACTTATTCACTTTCGGGCGCATTTTCCTGATTATCCTATAAAAACATTGCGTATGGATAATGCAAAAGAATTTGCATCAAAGTCTTTTGAAGATTATTGTACTGCAACAGGAATCGAATTGACATATTGTGTTCCATATGAACATGCTCAAAATGGACTTGCAGGGTCATTTATAAAGCGTATACAACTCATTATGCAGCCACTCCTCCTTCATGCAAATCTACCTACATCTATGTGGGGTCATGCAGTTTTACATGCTACAGCATTAATACACCTCCGCCCTTCTTCTCTTGAAACTGTTTCACCACATGAGCTCATTTCAGGTCGTGTTCCAAATGTATCTCACTTACGAGTATTTGGTTGCCGTGCTTGGATTCGAGTACCAGAACCTCAACGGCGTACCATTGGAGCTCATCGACAAGAAGGCATATATGTTGGTTTTGATTCACCAAGCATTATTCGTATTGTTGATCCATCAACTGACACATTATTACGTGCACGTCTGTAAAATTGCCGTTTTGAAGAAATTGTATTCCCATCTCTTCAAGGAGGAGTATCCAATCAACAAAGAAATAAAGTACTCATATTTGAAGCACCAGAAACATTTACAATGAATCCCGATCCTAGGACATCTTTGGCAGAAACTGAAGTTGCTAAGATTTTGCATTTAAAACGGATCGCGGATGAAACACCTGATGGCTTCAATGATGCACCTAGAATTACAAGAGTTCCTATTAATGAGGCTCAGAATGCACCTGCTCAGATTGTAGTGCCATTGACTACAATACCTCAAGTTATAACAACAACAACTAAAAGAACTCGTGGACCAGATAAGTAACCACGCAAGAAGAAAGCTATAAAATTAACTAATCCTGATATTATTTCTCAAGAAATTGCCACTCATCTTGCAGGGCTACCAATTCATGATGATATATCCATGCATAATGTACCTTCAATTCCTATGAAAAACAATCTTGGAACTGGAAGGAATAAGAATAAGTTGAGTAAAGAATTATCTATTTTGTATTGTGCTACAGATGATATTTGGGACAGACCATCTATTACGGTAGATGAATCATTTGCATATATGATTATAGAAGCCCTTTCTTGTGAAGAAGACGATCCTGAACCTCAAACCATCAAAGAGGCGATGCGTCGCTCTGATTGGTTAAAATAGAAAATTGCTATTGAGGAAGAGTATGCCTCTTTACGTAAGAGGAAAGTCTTTGGTCCAATTATAGATACTCTTACATCTTGCCCTGTGGGATATAAAATGGTATTAATACGCAAACGAGATGCTCAAGGCCAAATAATCCGCTATAAAGCTCATCTTATTACCCAAGGATTTTTTCAACAATTTGGCATTGATTATGAATCCACATATTCTCCAGTCATGGATTCAATTACATTTCGATATATTATTGGAATAACAGTTCATGCCACCCTTGAGATGCATCTGATGGATATAATTACTGCATATCTATATGGTTCTCTTGATGCAAATATTTATATGAAAGTTTCACCTGACTTAGAAACAGGAACTC